ATTAAAGATTAAAATAAATAAATAAATAAATAAAACAATTATTACTTGTCTACTATCACCATGTTTTTTCATTCAAAATTATGAGAGCCAGCCCTGCTGGTGTGGTTCAGGGATTGAGCATTGACCTATGAAACAGGAGGTCATGGTTCAATTCCCGGCCAGGACCCATGCCCGGGTAAAGGGCTGGATCCCCAGTATGGGGCATGCAGGAGACAGCCAATCAGTGATTTTCTCTCATCATTGTTTCTCTCTCTCTCTCCCTCTCCCTTCTTCTCTGAAATCAATAAAAACATATTTTAAAAAATTATGACAGCCAGTAAATTAGTAAAGCCTCCAAGATATTGGCCACAGAGGCTTATCATTTACTATATTGTTTCTTGCTTACAAAATGGCATTATCAATTGTTTTGTCAATTAAAAAGACATTTTTTACAATAATTTTAATAGCTCAACTAATAATGGGTAATTATACAGCATTTGCATCTTCTGTTATTATTTAGTTTCTAACACAAAGACAAAGGACCACTATCTTCTTGATTAACTGAGCTAATAATATTGTACACATGTGCAGCAGCTCAATGCTCAATAACTAATTAATAAATTTTATACCATTTTGGAAGATGTGTATATTCAAATCTATTGAGTTGCATAGGACAAAGGTCCTGTAAATTAATGTAAGTCACCACCACTTCAGATAGGACCATTTTTTCTTACATAACACTATAAATTAAAAACAATCAAGAAATGTGATCTGTCAATGCAAAGGTTCAAAACATTAGCAATTACAAAGAGCTGGTTTGAGAGTAAATGTAGCACAGTTTTATGCACATTAATGTTGGTCATTTGGCAAGACTGGCAGAGATTAATGAGGTAAATTTAAAATATATTCCAATGCAATTTTTATTACTCATGTAAGAGTGTCAAATTACCCAACCCATATTTTTTGTTCAAGTATAAAAGGAATTACTGAAACTTTCATTATGTCTGTGTTACGGACTTGTTCACCTTAAACTATCTTGAGCTTTATTATGATAACATAACCTTAAGGATATTAATGAGAACAAGCATTGCTCAATATGTGCCAAACCCTACATAAAGTGTTTTATAATCAAGATATCTCTTAACCCACAAAAAAAGCCTATGAAGTTGGTACTATTACCACTTCCATTTTCTGGATAAGGAAACTGGGCTCAAGGAGGTCAACAAACTGGTTGAGTTTCATAGTTTTAATAAGAAAGAGTTAGAATTCACAGCCAGCTCAGTCTGATTCCAGAGTTGGCACTATGCTATTCAGTGTCTCATAGCAAGCCTTCATTTGGTTGGTTAATTCAAAATAGTAGTATGGCAAGAGAGCTATCCTCAGAACCCAAATTCAATTGGAAGCCAATAGTTTAGAGGTGAAGTAGCATGGACAACTTTTTGTGACATACCTTTAGATATTTAACACTATCTTACACGGTCACAGAGGAGTGATGTTATTTTATATAGACTTCTTCAATGAGGTTAGAAACAGCCTAACAATAGGACAAACATGTAGTCATCAGTTTGGTTTCAATTATGTATACATTTATGTAGCCTCAGGAGAGTCAACTCTTCTGCTCATTTCTTCCCTGACAGCAGCCCGGGCCTTCCTCTTAGATTTAGATTGTGTATAAGGACACACCCAGATGTTTGTCCTCTGGAATAAATATCTACAGGTAGTCATTCCCAGATGTTTGTCCTCTGGAATAAATATCTACAGTAAGTAGTCATTCACAGGCTGAATCCAATCCATAGGTGTGTTTTGTTGTGGCCAAGTAGTGTTTATTTGTTTTTATTTCATTGACTACCCACATTTAAAAACAGTACATTAAAAAAAATATTAAAAATAAAAATGGTAACTTTTTTATATTTTTATTGATTTCAGAGAAGAAGGGAAAGGGAAAGAGAGACAGAAACATCAATGATGAGAGAAAATCATTGATTGGCTGCCTCCTGCACACCCCACACTGGGGATCAAGCCTGCAACCCAGGCATGTGCCCCTGACTGGAACTGAACTTGAGATCCTTCCATCTGCAGGCCGATGCTCTATCCACCGAGCCAAACTGGCTAGGGCAAAAAGGGTAACATTTTATAGAAAAATCTGGGTTTCCATTTTATCTTGATAAATAAGAAGATAGCAAAACAGATCCCAAATTCCCTGATGTCAAGTTCTTGGCTGGTGCTGAGTTCCAGTTGCCCCCTTTAGACAATTAGAGGTCAAATGTTCTTCATTCAGCCTCAAAACCATTGCCTCCACCTGCCAGGCCTTTTTTGCCATTTAGGTGGCTGCTCCTGATCTAGAGGAAAGCCTCACCCATCAATCAGCTTAGAAACCTCTTATGCTGATGTGAAACTGGTTTTGTGGCCTCCTATGTCATTCGCACTTCCCCTTTTTTAAAACCTACTGATATGAAGAACAGCAGGGGCATGGCAAAACACTGCGATGGTGACGCTGAACACAAAAATACTGTGTAAGTAAGTGAGTAATCCAAATCTCTGAAAGGATTGTTCACAAAGATGACTAGGCCACTAATATATTTTTATTTCATTTTTGAAGAAAGTCATTTAAAGGTGGTGATTCATCACTTGCATATTTAATAATGCAATATCTAGAGTCAAATGAATTTAAAATTTAGTACAGAATGACTTTTTCAGTGTTTCATTTCAACCCATATAAGGGCATTCTACTTTGAATTTTTGAACCTTTCTAATAAAAACTCTTTATATAGAAGATATGTGTCTGTCTATTTTATATGGTATATATGAAATACTAAAATATCTATATGAAACTATATCTACCATTATCCTATTTAATAAAAGGGTAATATGCAAATAGGCTGAACGGCCAAACAACCAATCAAAGCGTAATATGCTAATGATATACTAAGGCTGCTCAACTGCTTGCTATGACATGCACTGACCACCAGGGGCAGACAGTCAACTGGTGTACAGTCGCTATGATGTGCACTGACCACCAGGGGGCAGATGCTCTGACCATTAGGTTAGCTTGCTGCTGGGGTCTGGCCGATCAGGACTGAGTTAAATGGGCTGGACACAGCCTGGAGCCGTCCCCTGACCCTCCCTGGCCTGATCTTGCACTGATGGGGTCCCTCAGCCTGGCCTGAGCCCTCTTGCAATCCAGGATCCCTCAGGGGATGTTGGAGAGCCAGTTTCAGCCCGATCCCGCAGGCCACTCCCCTTGGGAGGGCGCCAGACACAGGGCTCATGGCTGGCGAGTGATGCTGTGGCAGCGTGATGGGGACTGATTGGGTGCGAGTCCACAGCAGGCACAGTGGGGCCGGGATGAGTGGGAGAGGCAGGTTGGAGCTGCAGGTGGCATTGGACTGCGGGTTGTGGCCCGATCCCTGCAGGCCGCCCAGAGGGACCCCACCATGTATGAATTCATGTATTGGGCCTCTAGTATAGTATAAAGTTACACATATACATATGCACTTGCATTATGTATATACATTTATACATGTGTACATATATATGCATGTATCCTTCCAAACTATTCTTATTTTAACTTTAAATCACAGTAACATTTTATAGCAGAAAATTCTTACCTCAGCCAGAAAAATAACGAAGCACCAAATTAGCACAAAAACTAAGCTCTTGTGGACAGTAATATATCTAAGGTATGTGTTCCATGTAGTCACTGCTGGTATGCCCTCCACATCATCAAAAAAGCACTCCTGAAGAAAAGAATCATGGTCATTACAATGAGACTATACAGTTTCATATCACCTATGACATGGGTCTTTTGTGGTTTTATTTTGAATCTGTGAAAATATTACTATTTGAAGCTAAGTGAATTTCAACAAATACAAATCATTATGAACGACATGTGTGGTGTCACTCCACATCCAGTATAATGTCCATCGGAACAACACAGCTTTTTGAAAAATGAGAAACACTGTAATTCTTCAAAATTCTGAAAGCATACCACTGATTATGTAACTATTATTTTTGGATAATTTCACCATTTTAATGCTTCCAGAGTCACACCTTTAACCAAATGAACAGTACCATCAAGCTGAAGCTTCCCAGAGCTCTCCTTAATTTATTTCTTAAGTGGGTCCATGGACAAATACACTTGGAAATTTGACTAGCTGTGGACATCGACCTAAGGGCAACTGATGTTTCTATATTTCCCAGTAGACTAGTATTATCTCTCCTTCCAGCTATGATTTAAATTACATAATTCTACTCCTCAGTGTATTCCCCTAGAAGTTTTGATTTGTCCTATGTAGATGCATTTCAAAAATTTGAAAAAGAGTGATTGTAGGTAGTCCAAAGGAAAAGGATACTTTCGGTTCTCATGAGGTCAACAAAATTCCCGGGAAAAGCACTAATACTTCAAAGAAGGGGTTCCAATGAAATTGGATCATAGCCCACTGTTAGGTATGAAGATTTTTGGAATCAAATAAACCTGGCTTTGAATCTGGACTCCACACTGACTTCCTAGATGCTGCTTGAATTTGGGCAGTTGAACATTTCTAAAGTTCACTTTCCTTCTTTGAAAATGAGGATAATGATAGGTACGTTCTAGGGCAGTAATGGGGACCAAGTATATGCTTAGTCCCCATTACTAAGAGCAATCAATAAGTAATAACTAGGTACTAATCAAAGAAATCATTTTTTACAACTAAATTTATGGGCTCGGGTTTGAGAAATTCATTCAAACTGATATTAAAACCATATAGATAAATTATCCTTTAGGAAACCTTTTATAAAAATTATAGAAATGCTGAAAGTATGTATCTTAGAAATAATCTATTGTGTTCTTTCATTTCACAAAGAAAAAAACCTTGGCCCAGAAATGTGAAATGATTTGTGATTGCCAATGGTCATACTAGCCTTAATTGATCTGTGCTAGTAAACATATCAACTCATCACAATGCTGCCTGTTTCATCCAAGGCACTTAAGAAATTTTTCTGGTAAATATTAAACAAAACCCCTCCACTTATATTGCTTCCTATCCTATATAATAAAACCCTAATATGCAAGTCGACTGAACGGCAGAACAACCAGTCGCTATGGTGCGCACTGACCACCAGGGGGCAGACGTTCAATGCAGGAGTTGCCCCCTGGTAGTTAGTGCGCTCCTACAGGGGGAGCGCCGCTAAGCCAGAAGCCGAGCTCATGGCTGGCGAGAGCAGCAGCAGTGGTGGGAGCCTCTTCTGACTCCACGGCAGCACTAAGGACACCTTGAGGGATGTCCAACTGCTGGCTTAGGCCCACGCCTCATGCTCCCCTCGGGGGAACAGGCCTAAGCCGGCAGGCGGACATCCCCTGAGGTGTCCCAGATTGCGAGAGGGCGCAGGCCAGGCTGAAGGAACCTCTCCCCACCTCCCCCGCCCCAGTGCATGAATGTCATGCATCAGGCCTCTAGTTTTTAAAATAAAAGTATTTTATCCTTTAAAACTTAAAGGATAAAATACTTAAAGGATACTAGCACCAACCTTTAGACCTTTTGTCTAAAGACCTTTTGTCTAAAGGATGGTGCTAGTATACATTAAGTTTCACACACCTTTTTTTTTTTTTAAAGAAACCTGTCTAGAAATCCAATTTAAAAGATAAAAAAGACTCTAGCCGTTTTGGCTCAGTGGATAGAGCACTGGCCTGCGAACTGAAGGGTTCCAGGTTCAATTCCAGTCAAGGGCACATGTCTGGTTTGTGGGCTCAATCCCCAGTAGGGAGTGTGCAGGAGTCAGCCAATCAATGATTCTCTCTCATCATTGATGTTTCTATCTCTCTCTTCCTCTCCATTCCTCTCTGAAATCAATAAAAATATATTAACAGATAGAAAAGCTCACACTAACTAATTCAGGTATGATTGATATATAAATGACAATATAAGTAGTTCTGTTAAGAGATTATAAGTATATATACCTTACATATAAAAATATTCCTTCCTCTCTAAACTACTGCTATTATCTGATTATATATTTGTTTATACTCCATCTCTTCCCACTGAGGTTTTAAGGTAGTAATAAAGCAGTTTTATAATAATTTTTAATAATTTATGATTATTCTAATTTCTAATAATGATTACTACTGGCCTAGTAAACCCAACACTAGCCCTTGTTTTGATAATATGTTTTCTTAGAAAAGATATGTCCATTGCAAAAGGAAATAGTTGATTCTTTACACTTTTAAGTTGATTCTTTTGCTTACATAATTATGAACTTTGCACTTCCAGAGTCTTAAGATAAACTTCATGCTAAAGCCATAATTTGAGTAAGTTTTGTGACATACTAATATGCATTTAGTTGTACTTTGTGGCAAAAAATAAATAAATAAATAAACAACAACAACAAAACACTAATAATTTATACACACCTTTAAATCTTCTTCATTAATTTCTTCACTTATTTCCAAGCCACTATCTTGAGATAAACGCCTTGAATATATATCCATTTCAGTTAAGTTCCCCTGAGGGGCCAGGGACATCTTTCGTGTGGATGCTGCTGGGGTTCGGTGAATGATTTGACCTTGGTTCACTGAGGAGCGTGTCATCAGGTTCAGAACAGACTGCCTCCTGCGCCGCTGAAAGGTGGGACCAGTGTTCATCACATTGCTGCGAGGCAGGATGGCCTCCCCCTGCTCGGAGTCTGGAACTAAGGACAGCCTTCTCTCTGAAGGCTCTTCTGAATCTTCTTCGATGCCATTAATTTGTAATGGAGTCTTCTGTACAATGGAAAACTTTTTTAAGGAGCTGATTGGATTGAGAATAGAGTTCTTCCTATTTTCACCAAACTCTCCAGTCTGTTTAAAAGACTGTTTTTTGGTTTCATTCCTGGGGATGGCAGCATCTCCTTCTAGTGAGAAACGCCGTAAAGTCTCCGTTAGGATTGAATTTCTTCTCTCTGCACTAAACTGATCAAAATAATCATATCCCATGAGCTTTGAACTGAAGTCAGGCCGTAGATTTTGTAATTCAGAAAATGTCCCATAAAAATAGCTGCTACCTTCATGAAGAATTAATATTTTGTCAGCTTTCTTTAAATGTTCCATTTTAGAAGTGACCAAAATCCTAGTTTTGTTAGCCATCAACTTACAGACACAGCTTTAAGAATATAAAAAAAATATAAGTAAGATATCAATTTTATGAACTCTTTATTACAATACAATATGTATTTCATTTAAAGATTTTATTAAGGTATTCTTATATAAAACCTCTATAATACAATGTTATTATACTTAAAATAATTCTAAAAGTAAATACCCAATACTAATTAATTTGGTGCCTTTTGAGTTACTATAGCATGAAATACTGTATTAATGAATTATTATAGTATGCTATATTGTAAAGTTGAGTGTTAAGAGACCTAAAATGAAATTAAATATATATATATTAAATAAATGTTTGAGTTTGAGCAAATTGGTTAACCTCTGGGTCATGATTCATTCATTTAGAAACTGACAGAATTGTTAGATGACCTTTAAGATTCCTGAGGGGGAGGTGTATATTTCTATGTATCTTCTGACATTTCAGAGCTTTCCTGTTCTTTACATTTTTTATTAATTTCCTTTTACGTTTTAAGTTGACCACCAATTTAGTTCTCAAAAGTTTATATTAAGACTAATCTTAATTGTTAAATCAACAACTACAAACCTAAGAATTAAATAATAAATTGATCCTCCTCTAATAAAATTTCCCTCTAATCTAGAACTAAATCCAGAACAGAATCATCTAAGGGAGACAAACTCCATTAAAACATTTCATATTGTATAGAAAGAGGCATAATTCTAGAGGGTACTCTAATATACTACATGGCTAGCAAAGTTTATATGGATAAGAAGTTATTTATCATAGTCATAGTATTGTAAAAATAGTATGTTAGGTATTAAATTCAACTAAATTCTAGGAAAGGTGCTTCCAGAAATAATGCTGCCATTTTATACACACATACATCTATATCCTTTTTGCTTAAAAATCTTTATTTCTAGAAGAGTATCATGATAATTCTCATAAATAAACTACTTCATAGTCTATGAAATCAGTTTGAAGCTTAGAAATCAAGTCAGATAACTAACTTTTTCTTTGGAACTTTGCACACTCTGAGCCCTACTAGGAGCTACAATGAAATGTAAATCCCAAGCCTGTGTGACTGAGGACAAGGTTCTGAAGGAGACACTGAGGTGGATGTATAGTCTGAGCATTCACTTACATTAACATTAAAAAATTCAGCTTGTTTTCTTCCCTAACAAGTTTACTATCCAAGGGGGAGATAGAATAAAATACTAACACAAAAAAGCAAGTAAAAACATTCAGTATAATAACCAATTAAAATAATGTTACAATAATACTGTAAAAACGACATAGACAGTGACTATTCTAGTAATAGCAAGGAAGAAACTGGTTTAGCATGAGGTGGTTAGAGGTTTTCATGGAAATGATATTGAATATTGGCTGCAAAGAGAAAATGAGATTTGAGTAAGTGCTATGTTGCATTCTTTCATAGGGTCACAATGGTGGACACATTTCTCAAGGAATAATAAGCAGTCCATGGTAGTATAGTCACCTTTCTTCGTCTTTTAGCATGAGCATTATGTTATTCAAAGAACATACCTTTCAAAGATTTCTTTTTCTGTTAAAACATCTAGGTACCCGAAAGGAGAGTCTAATAGGTACAAATCAGCATCTTTGTATACTGCTCTAAAAAGAAAATGAAAACTAATTTAGATTTCCTCTGTAATCCCATGTCACTTAGTGTAGATGATTTTAAATGAAGAAAAATAAATTATATATGATTTTTATGGCTTTTTACAACACTCCAAGAATTGCTAACATGGTTTTGCTGAAGTAAGAGACATTAACCAGCAAAAGTTACAAACTGAATCACATCATACCATACAATTTAAAACATTACCTTAAGTAGAACAAAAAGAAGAAAAGAACACCTTCTAACAATAGAATGTAACTAGAGCAAAGCACAGTGTTATATGCTGGGAATACAATGATAGAAATTACTCAGTTCCTGCCATAAAAGATTTTGCATTGTGCTGGGGGAAAAAGAATAAAATGGACCGTCTCAATCCTCTAAAATATCAGAGACAGCAACTAAATTGCAGCACTTATGTGAAACTATTTCTTTTTAATGTTTTTTCGGTGTTGACTGCTACAGCCAATTGGTAGCAGTACTACTGTGGCTATATAATTGGTACACTTTTTCCTCCTTATAGTCTCAGCCTCTGTACCATATTCATAAAAATTCCAAACAAGAAAAGAATGAATAATTCACAGTAAAAATGTATATCCATTTTTTTACTTTTTAAGTTAGAAAATAAAATATTATGAGCAAGCAAATTCTTCATTAAGTTGATCATAGCACAGTAATAAAATGGAGATATAGTCCCATGTTAATGGGAATGAGATAATTTCTTCATAACACTTAAAATTTTCAGGTGTGGTTGTTAGTAACCTTACCCCCACCCAACCACATAGAAATCATGTATAGTTCTGGGTACTTTCTGTGAAAAGAAAATTGTATCCAATCAGCAGATTTCTATGACAAAACACAGAAATGGTCAAAAGTCAAAGTAAAATCTAAAAGAACCTTTGCAGTGTAAGTTATTTTTGAAGACAAAATGCAAGAGAACTAGCTAAAAGACCTCTATCAAAATATACCCTCCAGGTCTTCCTTTCCCCACTTCATACTTCTCTCTCTCCTTTACACCTATGACATATATTATTAATATATTAATGATGTATTCATCATCTAAAACTGGACAACACAGGACACATTCCAATAAAAATAAAAATAATTATTTCTGTAGTACTTCAAACTGTGTACACCTTACAATAAAACCAAATCTTAAACTAGTAAATACAAAGTCAATTGTATGTTGAATGTCTAGAAGCCTCATAGCATGTCTTACCTAAGGATAAAATGGAATGTTTGAGATAAGTCTTAGTTGGGTCCACAGGTTAATTAATCAAATTCCATTTTATTTAGAGGCCCTTATCTTTTCTGTGTATTATCCATACCTATCAATTTATTTTTTTAATTGTAATCCCAAGATCAAGGCATAATCTTCAAAAATTTATCTTTATTGTTGAAAGTATTACAGATGTCCCCCCTTTCCCCCACTGACCCCCCTCAACCCCACTCCCACACCCGCCCCAGGCCTTCCCAGCACTTACGTAGAATCAAGAGGACCTAGTTCAAATTGTAACTCCACCATTTCCCTATATGGCTTTTAGCAAGTTAATATATAACAGCTTCAATTATCTCATTATTTCTTTCATAAAATGGAAGAACAATCCTATCTTTCCAAGGCGATATAGGGATTAAGTAAAATCACACACATACACATACACACACACACACACACACACACACACACACCACCTAGAATATTACTAGGCATTTGCAGGTGTTCAGTGAGTTAGTTTTCTGTCTCGGCATTTAAAAGCAGGAAAAACAAGTAAGGGAAAGGAGCCAAAATATCAATAAATCAATGATTTATTAACAACTCTGGCAACACAGTAAGAAGAATTTTGTTCTAATATAACTGGAGGAACGTTTGACATCCCATATCACTAATAATTTTTTAAATTGAACATGACGGTTTAACCACAACACTTTCAACTTGACAGAAATTAACTGTACGTAGTTCTCTCTTTGACAGCTCAAAATGCTTAGACCAGCGGTTCTCAACCTGTGGGTCGCGACCCCTTTGGCGGTCAAACGACCCTTTCACAGGGGTCGCCTAAGACCATCCTGCATATCAGATATTTACATTATGATTCATAACAGTAGCAACATTACAGTTATGAAGTAGCAACGAAAATAATTTTATGGTTGGGTCACAACATGAGGAACTGTATTTAAAGGGCAGAAGGTTGAGAACCACTGGTTAGACCAATAATGTCTCTACTAATGGAACTACCCACCACAGTGTTCGATGTGCTTGCCTTATTTGTCTTTAAAAATTATAGACTTTAAACCAAGTGATATCAGTTGCCTTGCTATTCTTGTTATGAGAATTATGTTGAAAATTTTGAAAATATACATTTATCTAAACTAAGAATCATGAACAGAAGCCTAGAGCAGGTGTGTTCATTGTGGGATGTAGGTGGTCAGGGAACTGTGTGATGGACTTCACAAAAAGTTTACATCATATCTCTCCTTGTGCTATGCAGAATCCCAGAGTTTTCCTTTGTAGTAAAACATACCATAAGGTAATCAAATATACACACACCAAAATAACTGCATGCATTTTTTATCAGATATGAATACTATATCATGATCAATAGTTCTTACAGGTGATTCTTAACCAGCTAGTCCTAAGATCCCAAGCACTTTTCAATTCCAAAACAGAATATAAAAATAGAGAAGTATCTATAATTTCTACATGCATGATATTTACAGCAAATGCTTACTGGACCAATAATCGGATACTCACCTTGCCAAGGAGATTCTTGCTCGCTGCCCTCCACTCAGTGTGATTCCACCTTCTCCAAGAACTATATTGTCTTTCTCTGCAAACTTGGAGATGTCCTATTATCAAAAATAGAAAGTAAGACATATGTAATACTTTTTGTAATACTTTAAGCAATAAAACAATAAAAAAAAGAAAGTAAGAATGGAATTGTTAGTATGCTGGATCTGAATTCGAAAGGTCCTTTTTCCTTCAAAGGTAATCATATATCACTCTATTGCTTTAGCTACAATTGAATTTTGAACACTGCATCTTGATTATTTTAAATCCACTTCAATTGGTCAAAACATTGCTGATTTTGATAAATAAATTTTTGTTTAATTTTTTAAATGCCATTAATGAACATTAAATAATAATAATTGGAAAATATAAAAAAGTAAAGCCTATGTATATTTATGGGTATGTAAATATGTGTGTATATCATCCGTGGACCATTATATAAACCTAAGTGCTATTAATGTGCTCAAGTGCACTTCCCTCCGATTTAAATACACTGTTATAATGGAATCTCCAAAACTGAATAAAACTCTCAATAAGAGAAACTAAATGAATATTACTTA